GCTCTGTCTTCCTGGTGTTTTTCAGGACTTGGCAAGGTGTTTAAACACCAACCAGGGCTAGGAAGCAAAGAAACCTAATTCCATTGGTTTGCAGTCAGGATGTTGGGGCGGGAGGGGGGTGGGGCAATGGCATTTCAAACTCCTTGATTCAATCATCCCTTATGGGAGGGAAGTGAGGTCCTAAAGGCTTAGAGCGACAGTGCCTGGGCTTCCGAGTGCCATTTTGAGCTTTTTCTTGCTGTAGGATCTCTGTGCTAGTTCTGCCCTTGCTGTAGATCTCTCTTTCTCTATTTATTGGTGACAGGAAGGTGTTGTGTATAAAGCTCCTAATAAGATTTCTGAATTGTGCCCCAAAACCTTTACGATTGAGTCAGGATCAGGCCTGTAGATTTTGGGAAAGAGGTGCTATGGGGAGCTGGGGGTCTCGAAGAAGGGCTCTGAGAGGGGGCATGCAGACTCTCATGGGCCCTAGGGGCCTCTGCCTGAGATGATCTTGACGGGTCTTTGGAAGACAGTAAGTGTATTGTCAACCTGTGTTTGCCATAAATTTCCTGCTCTCTGTGCTAGGTTAGAAAACCCTATGTCCAAGCCACATCCAAATGCTAGATTGGGTGATTTTTATTTTGGTTTTCTCCCTGTTCCCCTGAAGCTTCAGTCCATACCAGGACTCCTCCTTTACTCCTGTTCCAACTTCTTGTAGGTGGCTGGTACACCACTATCCTGTACCTCTACTCCCCACCCTCCCCCAGGTAGCTGCATCTCGGCACCATGTGAAGGCTCTGTGTGCAGGATCATGTGTAGAAGATTACCCATGTTCCAGGATCCACCCAAGAAACAATTGCATTTTGGTGCTGGGTGTGCCCTTGCCCTGCAGTGTTCTTATAACCCTGGTGGATATTAGTGAAGCTAGAATAATTATGAAATGTCGTGTGGGGGGGAAAAAAAACCTTGTTTTTTTTTAACTTTTTCTTTTTTCAGGCTGACTCACTGATCCTTCTCCTCCTCCAATTTCCTTATGAAACAATCCTGTGTACTGATTTTCATTCAACTTTGCTGCTATTTGTCTCCTTTTTTATTTTTTTTATTTTTTTTACAGCAAAGACTCCAGGACTCCTTTTGTGACAGGCACTTATCTCTAACCTAACACAAATCTTCCCTGGTTGGAAAAGGTGCAGGTGCAGGGTGGATAAAGCAGTACATAGGAGATGTGATCCCTTGCAATTCTCCCAGTTTTGAGCTCATGTAGAGGAGTTGGGCATTAGGAGCTGCCAACTTTGTACTTTTCACTGGCAGCTAACTAATTCTATCCTTCCTGGTGGTAGTGCCATGCAGACTTGACCAACTGAGCTCTGCTCAGTCAACATTTGGAACTGATTTGTCCCTGGAAACAAAATTTAATAATAAAAAGGCCAAAGGAGCAAGTTGGGTGGAAAGCCAGACAGCAATCCCCCATCAGCACAAATTGTGTAGCCTAGATCCTTGTGTTTGGAGGCATTTAGACTCACCCAGGTCAGGCTGCCTGCAGTGCAAGAGACAGGCCTTCACTCTCTGACTAAATTGAGTCATTCAAGGCCAAGAAGATGGTATCTCCCCAAATTACCCTGGCCAGCTACAGACCTGAGAATAGTGTGTGCACTAGCATTGGGGATTATATCCCAAGCTCAGCCTCTGGCCCTCTTCTGTCAGGGTAAATGCCTGCTTGCTTGAAGTAGAGGTGCTAGTCTATGGAAGCACATAGCATCTGTCTGGTGAGATGATACCAGCTCTGCTTATCCATTCATATGGCATACTGGGAGCCTGGACTGTTGGGTTTCACTCCCAGCTCTGGGAAGAAACACATTTTTAGCATAAGTGCTTAAAGCATAAGGACCTGGGTTTTGGGTCTCGCAGTCTTTTTTCCAATTGGAAAGTCTAAGCGTGAGTTGGGAAGTGACTTATAGAAAGTCTACTGAGTTCTGTGGATCAGTAACCAGTGTTGGTTGCCAGGCTAAAGAATCGTGACTTGAGATTTAAAAAAAACACCCAGGTTGTGTGGTGTCTGACGGTATTCACCTCAACCTCCAGTACCAGAGGGAAGCTTTTTCCCTGTAAGCAAAGATTCCTGTCTCACATTTTCTGCCCGCAGCTTTCCCCTCCTCCCCTGCCAAAACAGGGTCACATCTCAAGTAACATGCAATATCAACTCCTTGCAGTGAATTAGTACTGAGCCAACATTGAGGATATGCTTGTTTTGGATTGGCTTTTTTTTGGCTACCGGAAGAACAGGGTCCCAGGCGCTTCAGTGTAATCCCCTATTATCTTGGGCAGTTGCACTTCCCAACAAGCAAGACAAAGCCCCTAATCTGAGTGCCAGACGCTGCCTCATCAACTGGGCAGGCACTGTTTGTTTATGCCAAGCTGGGGGTGCTGGAGGCCAGTCCCAGCTGGGAAGAGGGGAACAAGGATCTGTTGGGTCTGCAGTTCTGGCTTTTGTTTTGAGTTTTTTTTGGTTTTGTTTTTCTAATGCCCCTTCCCTTTTTCTTTCTCTCCTAGCAGCAGGTAGTCTGTCAATTGATCCTCCTTCCCCTACCCCGTATATACACACCCACTCATTGGACCAACTTCCAGTATCCTTAGGAGCAGGTGTATTTCATTAGCATCTGATTCACAGCTCATTGCACCAAATTGCAGCCAGTCATGCTGCCCTCGGACCAGCCACCCCTTTGCTCCATCAAGGTGTTGTCCATTGCTTGAGGGCGTCAGGACTGGGGAAAGGTCTGATGGGAGACAAGAGCTCCTAGCACCCATTGGATCTGCTCTGCTGTGTGTGGAAGACTGACAAATGTCTATCCTGCTGCTAGCAGGAAAGACTTCCCAAGCTGGTACCCCCAGAAGGGAAAGGCTGCATGACGTATGCCATGACCCAGCCATGAGACTGGATCCAAACTGGTTCCTCTTAGACCTGGTTCCTCCATATCCCATTCCCTCACCCTGCTAGCTGTTTCAGTTTCTTTTTATGGCAAATATTTTTAGGTTTGAAATCCTTCTTTAATACCTACCGTAATTTCCTTTTGTTGGTAATGTTTCAGGAGGACAGAATATATAATTTTTTTCGGTATCTCTTTTGTTTCTTTTTTGTGATTCATATTTTCCCAACTTCTGTTTGATTTTTCAGACATGAGTCAAACTTCCATCACAGGGGAGCAGTGTCAGCTCTTAGGTACGGTATTGCCGAGGACTTTCTCTGTGTCCTTTTGTGCTGGCAAGGATACGCCCTGCTCTGTACGTGTGTCTGTGTGTGTGTGTGTGTGTGTGTGTGTGTGTGTGTGTGTGTGTGTGTGTGTGTGTGTGTGTGTGTGTGTGTGTGTGTGTGTGTGTACATGCCCCTGCAGGTGTGGATGAGCCCACTCTGTTCACCTCTCAGTATGCTACCCCAGGGCAAGACAGTAATTTCTGTTATCTGTATACTAATTCTTCTATTTCTGTATTTACTCTAAGGCCATTGCAGGAGTCAGCAACCAAAATATTCAGCCTAGAACTTAGACATAGCTTTGTGCATATTTGCAGTCACTAATTTCCACGTCCCCTGTTACTAGTCAGCGATGACATGTGGACTATTGGCCAGAGTGGGTGGAACTGAAAGACAGGACTCCTCTGTTCTCTTTAAGATGCTGGGGGTGTTGGGTGATGCTCACTTTAGCACAGTTTCTAGGTTCATACAGAGATAGTGAGGCCAGCCCTGACTGCAAGTGAAGATGATCTTCTTGAGCCCTATCCTGCTTCCTAGACTTGTTAGGGATCAGCACTGTGTGAGGACATGGCTGAGTTCTCCATCATGCTCCATGTAGCTTGCCCCAGTATGTGTGTAAGAGGTTGGTTCTTCTGGTCAGGAGCCCATGACAAGTTGAATGAGTTTCAGGAGCTCATGTGTTAGACATTCTCATTCTGTTGACCTTGTCCAGCATCGGAAGACATTAATCAGCATTACTCTACTTTGCTGTGCATGTAGCAAACAGATGCTGGCTGAACCCTGGCACTAGCTAGATATACTAACAAGCAAGCTGCCCTTAATGGGTGACATGACCTTAAGGTCAGTATACATGGCTTTGGGTCAGGGGAGGCAGCATGCTGCAGAAAGCGTGGCAGTTGAGGGGGGAGGAGGCTCTTCTGGGAAATATGTCTCTGCAATAGGTGACTAATTGTGGCTGTAGGGCAGGGGTTGGCAGCATATGGCCCGCAGGCTGGATCCAGTCCACATAGCCACAGGCTCCAGCCCATAGGGCTTTGCTTGTGCCCATGCCTATGCCTGTACTAAGGCTGAACAACAAGGAACTGAGCCCACAGTGCAGCTGTTCTTCTCCCCTCACCCTCCCCCCAAGGCTGCAATATGAGTGTAGCTTCTAGCTGGTGTGGAGCTGTGCTTTTGGCACAGCTGGGATTGAGGGGCTGGGAGAAGCAGTGCCAGCACAGGCACAGCTTGCAACTTCCTAGCCCTGGTGAGGGCACAGGGAAAGCCCCCCCACTGCTGATGCATCGCCTAAGCTATCCAGCCCACAACAAATGGAGCTGGGTTGTTCCAGCCTATGCCTTGAAAAGCTTGTTACCTGCAGGGGGCTCCCCAAGGAGTCAGAACCTCTTGAAGATTGCTGCAGAGGCAACTGCATATTCCTGCCTTGCTTTTTCCCCATTGTAGATACCTGCCTATGATTTCATGGCAAAGGAAGAGGAGACAGATATATAGCAGGCCTGTCATGAAAGCACATTTTATAGACGAGATGGGTTGGAAAGTTAAAGTTCTTAGTCTTAGCAGGGTGCCACCTTGAGTTTTGACTTGTTTAGCTCAGGGAAGCAGGGAGCAGTGGTTAAGACAGGCTGAGGAGTTTAAAGCTTAGAGTGGGGAAGCTGGGAGCCAGGACTCTTGGCTAAAGCTGAGGTCTGGTGACTAGAGCAGAGGTGCCTGGGAATCTTGTCTCCAGGGTTTGACTCTTGGTGCTGTACCTCATTCTCCATCTATCACAGGAGAGATGAATAAGTTTCAGGGTGCCTGTGCGATTGCCGCAGCCCTAGTGCTAGGAGGGAGCCTGGATCAGCTGACTCCTGATGGCACACTAGTGATTTTGTTTTTATTATTATTATGTTAGTGTCTTGGTTGTGATGATCTGTGATTCCACCTCCTTGCACGGGGCTAGGATCTGTTCTTCCCTGCAGGGACAGAGACTGAAGCCCCCTCCACATTGATGCAGTTTAGACAAGGCTTTTCCATAATCCTGCTGTCCTCTTGGCTCTCCCCAGATCCTGGGCACAAAAAGGATCTCCACAACTATCTCAATAACAGCAACTATGAGGATGGCGACGAGTACTTCGACAAGAACCTGGCACTCTTTGAGGTACTCCCAGAGATCTATGGCCTGCTGCTTGCAGGATGGGGAGGGCAGTCTCAAGAAAAGTTGAGGGGGTTGAATGCTGCCACTCGGATCGGTTCTGGCACCTGCAGAGTCCATTTCATAGTAATGCAGGGCCAATAAAGTTACTTGTTCCCCTTGTCCCCTCTGTGGTGTGGGCCTCATGCTGCACGTGTGGTAATAGGAGAGGGGATTTACTCACCTAACCGTTTATTCGGTATGTGGATTCTCTGCTAGACTGGTCATACTTGGGGTAGCTCCCCCACTGCAGTGACTGATGGAACATCTGAATCTTCAAGGAGCCTGAAGCAGTTATACAGTACTTGGAACAGGTTTCCCCCCTTGATCTCCTTCTGTCTTTTTCATTCTGCAGGAGGAAATGGACACCAGGCCTAAGGTGTCCTCTCTACTCAACCGCATGGCAAACTACACCAACCTGACTCAGGGGGCACGGGAGCATGAGGAGGCAGAAAACATCACGGAAGGCAAGAAGAAACCCACCAAAGTGAGTGGTTGTTGATTGGGATTGAGGGGCGTTGATAGAGGTGGGTGAAGTAATCCAAGGCTGGGATGGCAGGAAAGGCTGAGAGGATTCGGAGTTGCTTAAGGACTCAAGGGGCATTTTTACACATGCAAGTGATACAGTGCCAGGCTCTTTGAAAAGCACTCAGTGCTGCGATGCTTGCAGTTGTATAAGTGGCGAAATGCACATCAGTGCTGAGAAAATGGTGGCAGCACACTTTTGGACTAAAACACGTAGAAGGTGCTTTCATTGAAAAGCACACCACTCATTTTCTGCACACTGACACACATTTTGCTGCTTATACAACTGCGTGTGATGCAGTGCAGTGATGCAGCACAGCGCACAATTAATTGAGTCTGCTCTGAAACAGCAGATCTCTGGCGCGTGTCAGGACCAAAAAGTATGTGTATAAATGCCCTAGACTCCCAAGTCTGCTGTCCCTGAAGCACTTTATCACATTTGTCTTCCAGCACTGGAACAGAAGAACACAGGAGTTCTGATTTCAACCTCTCTCATTCTAACTTCTATCTGCCTGCAGATCCCCCAGATGGGCACCTTCATGGGCGTCTACCTTCCTTGCCTGCAAAATATCTTTGGAGTGATCCTCTTCCTGCGTCTCACCTGGGTGGTGGGCACAGCTGGAGTGTTGCAGGCCTTTGCCATTGTCTTCATGTGCTGTAGCTGTGTGAGTGTCGGCCTTCTCTGCCCTTTGCGCACTCGCTCTTTGCAGTCAGTGAGCATCCCTGTGTGGCATTAATGGGTGCTGTATTTCAAGGACTCAAGAAGGGGGTGCTGTCCAGTTAGTCATTGCTGGCCCTCCTGTAGCACTTGAAGGAGTGGGTATTCTTCCCTTGTGATCCAGGCTGGTCACAGTGCCCCTATGTGGTGCTGAATAGTACTATGCTTTGGGGGGATCATCCTGTTCTCTGGGTGAGTGACTTGACTACTTTTAAAGAGCATGAGTCCTGGTCTCCTGCTCTAGTCTTACTTCAAAAGCTGTGATTCTGCCTCCATGTACCCACCATCTGCCAGCTGTTGTTATTCTGTCCCCTCCTGTCCTAATCCTTGTCAAACTGTTACTGTAACAGAGCTGGTGCATCTCACCCCAGATGGAGATGGGTTTCTGTTGGATGAGTGGCCACCAGTTCAGTTTTAGGTAAATCCTTGCTATTCCTGTATTGGCGCTTCCTGCTATCTTATTCTGTCTTCTCTGCAGACTTTACTGACAGCCATATCCATGAGTGCCATTGCCACCAACGGAGTTGTACCAGGTGAGTGTGATGTGGTAGCTTGGTTCCCTCCCCCACATCAGACCTTCCAGTCTAGTCTCTGCTCTCCCCATACCATTTCCTTTCTACAGAAGGTCAATTCCTTCCTGACCCCTGTCTTATGAGTCACTCCTGCCCTTCAGCATTTATATGGAGAAGTTTTTGGACCAGCATCCCCATCTCTTAAGCACACCCTGACTGATTGTGTCTCTCTTTCTTTCTCCAGCTGGGGGTTCCTACTTCATGATCTCCCGGGCACTAGGCCCTGAATTTGGGGGTGCTGTGGGGCTCTGCTTCTACCTTGGTACGACCTTTGCTGCTGCCATGTACATCCTGGGAGCCATTGAGATCTTTCTGGTGAGAGTCCTGTCCTTTTCAGGGATGCACAGAAGCAGGAATTACTAGCATAGCCCCTCTGGCTAGGCAAGGAATCCTGTTAGGCAACTGATGCCATCCTGGATTGGGATGTAGGTTGCTTGTGTCAGAAATGTAGCGAAACCTGTCTAAGATGGAACCTGTAGAAGTTCTGGCATACCTTGTGGCAAATTTTGTATTTGTATATTTATTCTGTATAACCTAAAGACTAAATTTTCTTTGTTTCTGTGTTGGAGCACATTTGTAGAGTCATCCTGTAAATTGTGGAAGTTGCCAATAATTTCCATATGTGGGTGTGTGAAGCATGTTAGCACCATGCAGAGGAGAGGGGCTGGGTAGCAGAGAGAACTGAGTGGAGGAGAGGGGCTGAGAAGTTCTCCCTGTAAATTGGAAACATGTCTAAAGTAATTTTTTCCCAGTTCTATGCAATTCCATCTTAGACAGGTTTCACCATATACAGTCGTCCATCAGAGCTGGTACTTCTAAAGGGGCAGGTCCTATAGCTCAGCCATTCTGCCATAGGACTGGATTGGACTTGAGGCCCTGGAGGTGGGGGGAAAGGCACTATACCTCATTACTTGATCCCCTGAACTAATTAGTCATCCCATCCTGAGGTTGGATTGGAGTTGGTGTCGCCAAAGAACGGGGGCGGGGAAGACTTGTACCTTATTCTTTGATCACCTGATCTAGCTAGTTGCCCTACCCTGGCTGGCACTGGGCAGAAGCCTGCGCCCTTAGCTGTGATGCCTGTTTGCCCTACGCAGATGTACATTGTCCCTGCGGCGGCCATCTTCCACAGTGAGGATATACTGAAGGAGTCAGCAGCCATGCTGAACAACATGCGGGTCTACGGTTCTGCCTTCCTCCTCCTCATGGTGCTGGTGGTCTTTGTCGGGGTGCGCTACGTCAACAAATTTGCCTCGCTCTTCCTAGCCTGCGTCATTGTCTCCATCCTGGCCATCTACGCTGGAGCTATCAAATCTTCCTTTTCTCCCCCCAGCTTCCCGTAGGTGTTTTGGATCCTAGGAGCATTGCTCAGATCTGGCTGACGTGTTATAGGGGGTTGGGAGGGAGCGAGGGGGCTCACTCTGCTCCTGGTAATCTAGGAGAACTGCTCAGAGCTGGGATTAAAAACAGGGCTGTTAAGAGGAGGCCTTTGTGCATCCAGAATTGACTTGTGTGAAGTTCTGTTCACTGGTTGCTAAGAGATAATCTTTTTGGAGGTTGGCCTGAAGGGTACTTGTATTCAGGGCACTCCTTAACCCTGCACAGGGTCTGCATGCTGGGAAATCGCACACTCTCTCGTCGGCACATAGATGTCTGTGCAAAAACCCAGGAACAGGGCAACATCACAGTGCCCACCCGACTCTGGGGTCTCTTCTGCAACTCCAGCAAACAGCTCAATGCCACCTGCGATGAGTACTTTGCCCACAACAACGTCACCTTCATCCAGGGCATCCCAGGTCTGGCAAGTGGCATAATTACTGGTGAGTGTCCACTGGGCTGTCCCTTTGGGGTGCCAAATCGGGAGAGCCTTTGGCCTGGTGGCCATGGGATTGGACAGTATGAGGCCCACTTAACTAGTAGATTCCCTGCTTGGCACCCATATGCCCTGTTAACCTGCTTGTCATTCTCTGCAGAGAATTTGTGGGCCAGCTATCTGCAAAAGGGGGAGATTGTTGAGAAGCCCTCAATTCATTCTGTCGATGTGCTAGGAGCCATGAACCAAGAGTATGTGCTGGCTGATATTACCACTTCCTTCACCCTCCTCGTGGGAATCTTCTTTCCCTCTGTCACTGGTAAGAGCTGGGGCCTGGGTCTCTCATCTTGGACTCATGGAGACTTAGGCAGAAATGGGACTGGGAGCTGGGTGTCCGGAATGGCAACCCAGTGAATACCTGCAGCTTCCACTCTTCAGAAGCAGAGACCAGGATGGGGAGTGAGCGCCAGACTTTTGAATGGCAGCACAGGCAGTCATCCCACTGGGGGTCTGACAGCTTCAGGATCAAGTAGTGTCTTTACATATGCTCTGGGGATTGCGGGGGGGGCAGGGGGAGAGGGCACAGCACTTTAATTAAAGTGGCTTTCAAGAACTGCTCTAATTAAAGTGCCCACAACATCTTGTGTATTCAGCATCCCACATTTCAAAATGGCGGCAAGGCTGCTTTAAGGCTCATTTGATGAGCTTTAATTTAAAGTACTCCTGCCGCCATTTTGAAGTGCAGGGATGCTGAGACTGCTGGAGTATGCTAATCAGCACGCTCCAGAAGACTTAATTAGTCGACTCCAACACACTATAATTACAGCATGTTGGAGCAGGTCTTCCACACTTCTACAGGCACCCAAGGTGTCTAAAATAACAGCACAGGTTGCTCAGCTTGACAGCTGTTTGTGTCCTTTACTTTCCACAGGTATCATGGCTGGTTCAAACCGCTCTGGAGACCTGAAAGATGCTCAAAAATCCATCCCCATTGGCACCATTCTAGCCATTCTCACCACCTCCTTTGTCTGTATCCTTCTGAAAGGGTCCTAGATTTGTGTCTGGAGAACTTGGGGTGGAGTGGGTCAGTGTAAGTGGAAAAGCAGCCTGGCTCAGGAGAGGCACAGAGGAATGTCCCTAGCTTGGGTTTCAAGACTGAAGGAGGAGATCTGCTGTAGTGTAGGTCATGTTCTCAGGTATGTCCCAACCCACCCCCTCTCTGACATTCCTTGACTCCTGACTGTCCTAGATCTCAGCAACGTGGTTCTCTTTGGGGCCTGTATTGAAGGAGTAGCGCTGCGGGACAAGTAAGTACTGTCACCAGTGTTCCTACTAGGATTTTCTAGCTGTGGCTTCTCCCAGTGGGTCTCTTCATGCTTGTTCCCAGCCACTGGGTCCCCTTTTACTCAGAGCCCCACTCTCAGGCCCACTCCATTGGTTTCTGTATCATCAGTTTCTCTGTCAGAATCCTCTGCATACCTTTCCTAGTCACTGACTGGTCTCTCTCCTGCCTTGCAGGTTTGGTGATGCAGTGGATGGGAATCTGGTGGTTGGCACACTCTCCTGGCCTTCACCCTGGGTCATTGTTATTGGTTCGTTCTTCTCCACCTGTGGGGCCGGACTGCAGAGCCTCACTGGTGCCCCCAGGCTGCTGCAGGCAATCGCCAAGGACAACATTATACCCTTCCTACGGGTAAGAATGTTATCTGGTTTGTTATCCCTTTCTTGTTCCTCAGGTGCCCTCCAGAGGAGTCTGCACCTCTAATAAAAGGGAAACCACCCCATTGCAACATTGCTGTGTTATCCAGCTGCTTCCTGCTGGAACTAATGGCATTTGCAACTTCCTAAAATGGGTTTGTTTTCTGCTGTTCCCTCAGGTATTTGGCCATGGCAAAGCCAACGGGGAACCAACATGGGCACTGCTCTTGACAGCAGGCATTGCTGAACTGGGTATCCTCATTGCTTCATTGGACCTTGTGGCTCCTATCCTGTCTATGTAAGGTCACCTTGGACCTAATTGAGAGGCATATCTCACCCATGGGTTGTCTCTCCTCGGTCCCAGAGGAGGGAAGGGGCAGTCCCTGGGCAGTTGACAGGCTGCTTTTCAAGCCTTAATCTCCCCCACTCCCTGGGGCTACTACACCGCTAATCACCACTTTCCTTATCTATCTTGGTCTGTAGGTTCTTCCTCATGTGTTATCTCTTTGTGAACCTGGCCTGTGCATTACAGACTTTGCTGCGTACCCCCAACTGGAGACCCCGCTTCCGTTACTATCACTGGTAAGGCTAGTCACCTGGGTTCTGCGCAGGGCACTCGGTAGATAATGGGGTCTTGAGACAGAGACCCAGATATTTTGATTCCTGGGAGGTGTGTGTGGCTTGGTAGGTTGGTAGTGATTCAAGAGTTCTCATCTTTCTTTGCAGGGCACTCTCCTTCATGGGCATGAGCATCTGCTTGGCACTTATGTTCATTTCTTCTTGGTATTATGCCATCATAGCCATGGTGATTGCTGGCATGATCTACAAATACATCGAGTATCAAGGGTGAGTAACACCCTGCTGACCAGGCAAGCAACTGGCACTTTGAACTGAGATGCTGGATCAGGAGCCCCTAAACTCCTGTGTCAGCTATGGTAGCATAATTACACAGTGTTTTGGATGCATGTAATGACCAGGGTCACAGAGGAAGTCTGTTTCAGAGAAGGGATTTGAGTCCAGATCTTCCAGGTGCCCCTAAGCACTGCCACTTACCATATGCTTGCACTGCGGCACACATCAATCTCCTCTTTCATCCTGAGCATGCAGATCCTGGCCTGACAGCTGAATGAGGAACAGGCCAGGGTTATAGGGACATCACCACTGTGAGGGCCTCAGAACACTTACACATGCCCTTCCCCCTTGCATTCCAAGGGCAGATCTACAAATACATCGTGGGTGAGTTGCTGACCAAGCAGAGCACTGGCACTTTGAGCTGAGAAGTACTGAACCAGCAGATCAGACTCCTTTGTATCAGCTTCTTGAGTTCTTCCTTTCCTTGTTTGCAGCTCTGTTTCCTCTTGGGGATCAGAGGAGGATATCTGTGGCCCAATAGCTCTTTCCTTCTGTGATGTGCCTGTCAGCCAGGGAGTCTGTTAGATGCTTACCACCAGTGTCTGCCCTGCTAGGAACCAGGCTGTCTGCACCAATTCATTGTACCGCTGGTCTAAAACATGCCCACACAGTTGAAGTTCATTGCTGTGTTTCTGAAGAGGAAAACTATGTGTAGTTGATAGTCGGGCTGGGAACCTCAGATGGGGAGGACAGTGGCAAGAGCAGGGAGGGGTCAGGACTCCTGGTTCTCTTTTCAGCCTGGCTTGAG